CCCGAGCCCACCGCGCCGCCGCGCCCCGCGCGTGCGCTCCCGCCCTGCGCCCTGAGAGCCCGGGAGGGCGAGCGCACCTGGCCTCGGCGACCGCTGGAGCTGCCTGGCGCTCCCGGAGCTGCCTGCGGTCTCCCCTCGTCTGCCCTGTTGGATTGGCGCGTCCGGTCCCTCCGCGGCCCGGAGTGCGCGGAGCTGGGAGCGGCTTGGCCATGGCTGTGAGGAGGGACTCCGTGTGGAAGTACTGTTGGGGAGTTTTGATGGTTTTATGCAGAACTGCGATTTCCAGATCGATAGTTTTAGAGCCTATCTATTGGAATTCCTCGAACTCCAAGTAAGTGGCGTCCGCGATCCCCTTCGGTCCCTGCCCCGGGGTCCGTCTCGCCGCGCCGTCCGGGCGGGAGGAAGGGTCAGCCCGCAGAGCCTCGGAGCCTGGTTCTGGAGTCTCAGTTTTCTGACCCCCGCCCCCACCCCGCCACATTTCACTAGTGGAGACTCCTCGCTTGGCTTTCCAGCCGGAGCGCCGGATGGAAGGGGCTCTCTTCCCGCTTTCTTCCTCCGGGCGCTCCCGGGCGCTAAAAGCCCTGGAGGCTCGGGTGTCACGTCCCGGAAGGTGTCCGATGGCGATACCTGACCCTCGCTTCTTTTCGAGGACGAAGGACCTGGCCACAAACAGGGCTGGCTGGCGAATGGGGACTGGCGGACTCCGGAGAAAGGTGGAGATGCTGCGCTTTCGGGGCGTGCAGGCGGCGCGGTCTGGGGCCCGCGGGCGGGCAGGCGGAGGAGCGACGCGGGCAGCTGTGTGGGCCAGCGGAGCGCACCCTTGGGGTGCGGAACCTGGGGTTGTTGTGCCGCCCGCTGCGCCCCTGAGTCCGCGCGCCTGGGCGCCGTGTGGCCAGCTGGGGTGCAGAGGGAGCTCGCTTGTACCGCAGGAGAACTCGGGCGGAGAGCCCATTCCTCCCCGCCCGGGAGACCGGCCTTAGGCTTCACCGGGAGAGCCCTTTGCACGTTGGCCTCTCCCTTCGTCTACAAACCGGTGGTCCCGAATTCTGTGCCGTCTCCTATGGCCGACCTGATTTTAGGAACGCGTTCTGCAAAAAGCTTAGGGCCCTGCCCAGTCAACACTGTTCCTGAAGCCTTCGCCCTTGGGGGTCCCCGGGTAGGAATAAGATACTTTGAATCAGGTTTGCTCTTATTAAGCGATACAGCGGGTAAAAAGCCAGGCTGGTGGAGAATAACTTTGAGTTTGGGCGAGAGTACATTCAGGGTTTAGAAAATGTAGTCTCTCCATGGACACGTAAGGCCTTATTTTGTAGTCTTATACACTTTCAGTATTATATAGTTCCTTATTCTTAGGATACGTTTGGAGTCACAGCCAAAAACTATTTCATAGAATCATAGAATTTTAGCCTTGAAAAACTTAGAAAAAGTGTTAAGATACTGGCTGATTTCTGGGGTAAACAGTTGAGATAGGAGGCGAAATCAATGGCCTAACTGAAGTTGAGCGAGGTGGGCATGGATTTAGGAGTAAAGGGAAGGGGGAATGATTTAGAAATCACGTCTTAATTGAAATTGTATCCACTGTCCTAAAAGTGGTACATTTCAAATTCACCAGCACGTTAACCAAGAATCCCCAGGGCAGAAACGTCACAGTTATAAATCGCCTTACGCAGAAATTATGGCACGGTTCTAGATGGCACTTTCAAAAGCTCCCTGTGTTTAAAAGTTACTTAATACACCGTTCCTCCATGGAGTGTGACCTTGTGTGGATTTTTTTTTTTTAATGCACGATTTGGTATTCGCTGACAAAGTACTGGTGGAGGCATGTGTCCACAGATACCGAGGCTAAGAGTCCAGTTGCGCCGGATCGCGAGGGCTGGGCCCTCGCGCGGTGGCCAGCCCTAGAGTCCGGGAGGCGGCCGGCGGGCGGGCGGGAGCCGGGCCCAGGCTGCAGCCGCTGCTCGCTTTGCGCCTACAGAGGTCACTCTTCCATGCGGAATGCTGGGCGCCCAGGCCCGCCCCTCCCCCAGCCGCTGCTCCGCTCCGCTCTGCACTTTCACTGATCGCCTCTGTTTGGGGCTGATCTTTTTTCTTCTGTGAAGATTTAAAATTTCTATTTAAATCTAATTCAAAGAAATTCCTATGAACTATTTGGCGTGCAGTTCGGAACATGTATCTCTGCGTTATTATTAACAGTTTGTGTGTTTCCGAGAGGATTAGAAATACCTGCTGAGGGTACAAAGGGAGAAGAACACGTATCTTAACCAATAATTATTTCAGCCTACGGTTTAGATAGCAGTAGCTTTTCCTAATGCGTTAAGGATGGTGGTGGGGCCGGTCTGATGTTTGCTCTCTGTCCTCTGATGATTAAGATTAGGCTTTTTTTCCAATTTGGGGCTGGGTGTAAAGACCTTTTTGGGGCCTGCGTTTTGGAGAAGCCTGCCTCCAGCACTGCTGATGTTGCTGATGGTGTGATTCCTTCCTGTCTTCAGAAGCAGATTTTTTAAAAAATTGTCGTGATAATGGCTTGCCTGGAGGACCGAATATTATGTCCCTGGGAAAGGTCTGCTTTGCAAAATGCGCAGCTCCATGCTAGCTTCAGAGATCAGAAACACTTCTTGGAGGCATGATGTGAGAGAGCCTTTTCTAAGTTTGAGAATGAATAAAACTCCCTGATGTCAGGGGTCCGATTTACCAGGGAAGTTGCATACTGACTTCGAAGGAAAAGTTTCAGTCAGTAAATGTTTTGTGGCAGGTAGGTAATCAAAGTCTTGGAAGTTTCAGGTCCGTGCATACGAACTGTGCAACAATCCAGTTGTAAGGCAGCCACGTCGGTAATTAGAGTTGTTTCATTCAGAGGTCAGCTTCAGGAGCAGGTGGTGGACACAGGGAACACACAGCAGCTGTTTGGGTGGAGGGCCCAGAAAATCCTTCCCAATGCCGCATCTCAATAGCTACTTTAATCACAGTCTGTCGGTCCCACCCTGAGTTTATGTAATAAGCCAGAGAAGTTCAGTTACTCAAGCTTAGCGACTGCCTGTTAAAGCATTCATGTTGCATCCAGAGGTTCTGGTTGAGTTGGGCCAGTTGTAACAATTTAGGTCATTCAAGCTTTTTTTGTCTATTATTATTATTATTATTTAATTTAGGAAAGGGCAGCAAAGCCTGCCTTCCATTTCTAAGTACATCTTAGTGGGACAGTTTTTTTTTTCCCCAAGCATGATGTTTTTGTCTAAGTAGCTGGCTGTTTTAAAAAATATATTACTTTTACCTTAGAAGTATGGAATTGGTATTCTAGAATGAATTACACTGACTTTATTGAAGATTTAGCTGAGCATTCATTTTTTCTAAGACTGCCGTACTTCATGCAATACATATTAGTTAACAAAGCGTCTTGCTTCCCCATGTAATTTTTCTCCTACATAATACTGAATTCCTGGTATTGATTGACTTGATACAAAAGAATGCCTGGATAATATCCAGATAACCTATAATACATGGGCTGCAACACAGTCAGGCTCTGAGTAAATACGGGCCTGTCAGAGATTGATAAAATAAGCTACAATGGGTAGTGCTGTTTAAACAGTTCATTCAATAACATATATAAGCCAGCCTGCCTTCCATTGTGTCTGAAATTCTTATTTTTGTAGGTAAACAAATGCACATTCAGCACTGATTGAATAGCCCCTTGAACTGTGCTCCACAGTTTGCGTTTGGGTTAATCTTGTCGGTTTTAATATAGAGAGAAAGAAGCACAAAGCACCAGGGGTGGAATTGTTAGTGCTTTCACATCCACATTCCTCACATTTTGTCAGGATGATAAACTAGGTAATGGACTGTCGTTGTTCCACAGGACAACTGAGCCAGGCGAGCACAAAGGCAGCCGAAGCCATGGCTCACAACGTGCTTGGAGCCTTCTTTTCAGATGAGAATTTATTTGGGAATCATGTGTCTAGGGACTGCACTTCTTAACCTCAACAATTACAGCTTCCAGCCTCAGAAACTGGAGCTGGAGGTTAAGATGACTTGTTAAGCACTTGGTTCTAAATCTTTCACAAAGCTAGCTGTTGACACTTGTCCCTACCGTTGCAAAGAAATGCAAATGACTCCAGCGTTCCTAAATGTTTCTGACTCTTGAGCTAAAGTATAAGGACAGGTGACTTAAGCCCCCACTGGAGAGCAGCTACAAACTCCGTGTTGGAATGGTTTCTCCATCCCGAGTCAGTGAAGAACAACTGGCATATTTACATTAACGATCACGAAACCCCTTATCCGTTACCTTCCTGAGGCAGACCCTTTGGTTGGTGGATCAGAATGATAATTGCCTTCAGACAGACATTGCAGTTGGAGCAACAAAGCCCTTGCTATCTCGACTTCACTGAAACAGTTCAGGTACCTCCCAGGAGCTTCAGAGTGACACCTAACTTCCAGCGCTGTGCCTCACCTAATGGGGAACGATTTGAGATCCCAGCGCGACTGCAGTGATGCGTCATAGCGATGGGAGTGGCAGGGAAAAGGACACACAGACTGAAGATCCGAATAACAAAATGTTTTCGGAAAGGCATTTCTGTAACATTTGTGAAAACTTTTCTTGCAACGTTAACTGCAAATTAGACCAACGAAATGTGCTTCTCAGAAAGATGGTCGAAATGGTCCTTGTGTCTGCCTCCTCTGTGCCTGCCCGTGCTGCTGGCCTGGAGAACCTGTTTTTCAGGTCACTTACTGTACATCTCCATAGATTTGCCTATGAGCTCACTCTTTGTGTAGCAGAGGAGAGCACTAAAGAGGAGTGTTCGACTGTTTAAAATATTTTGATTGAAATATGCACAACCCATAGAACTTTAAGCTGCTGGTCAGGAATTAGCTCTTTCAGGGAAGAGCTCCTCCCTCTTCTTTTTAAGGGGGGAATCAGAATGGGGCTGGGGGGCTGGGGGGAGGAAAATAAGAACAGCAAAGAAGGAAGGATAGCAAATGGGACATGTTCCGAACAGCTTGCAAAAACTCCTGTGGCTTCATTGTCTCTGTAAAGCCAAAGAATACAAAGACATGAGCAATTCAGCCCTTCTCCCATGATGGCAAATGTAAACCGTTGACATGGCTCCCCTGTTTAACTTGTTTAATTCTCATTTTAAATTCAGCACTATACCAGCCGTGTGAACTCTGAAGATTTCTTTAGTAATCCATTTTGTAGTTCCGAATCAAAAACAAAGTGAAAGGGTCTGACACAATTTGCTTTTATTTTTAGGCAAATCAACCCTGGTCATAGTTAATAAGGGGATTACAACCCAGACTAGGTCTTTACAGATGTAATGTAAATCGAGGGCAGAGTATAAA